TGGGTTGTTTCTTAATTTTTTCCTTGGTGTCTTTGGATGAGCAGAAATTTTTGATGAAGTCCAGTTGACCACTTTCTTTTCTCTTCTGCATAGTCTTTTTATGTCCTATCTAAGACATTTCTGCCTACTCAAGATCATAAAGATATTGTTCTATTGTTTTCTTCCAGAAGCTTTACATTTCTAGGTTTTACAGTTAGGTCTATGAACCTCTAAAATTAATTTTTTGCATACAGTGGGAGCAAAGAGTCAAGATTGTTTTCATTTCTTCATGTGGGTATTTACTTGTTTCAATAGCATTTATTGTTGAAAAGACTTTTCTTTGTGTATTTTACTGATTTTTTCCTGATATCTTTCTTAAGAATTGAGTATACACACACACACACACACACACACACACACACACTCACTCACATACACACACAGGTCTATCTTTGAACTCTGTCTCATTCCATTGATCCATTTGTCATTCTGCCAATACCACACAGTCATGATTGCTATATGTTTATAATAAATCTTAGACTTTGGTAATATGATACCTCCGACTTTTATTTTTTCTTTGGCAAGATTATCTTGACTATTCTAAACTAATTGCCTCTCCATGTACATTTTTATATTTTTTTAAATGCTAGGATTTTTTAAATTAATAATTTTTTAAAGATTTTTTTTTTATTCATGAGAGGCAGAGACACAGGCAGAGGGAGAAGCAGGCTCCCTGCAGGGAGCCCAATGAGGGACTGGATTCCAGGAACCCGGGATCAAAACCTGAGCACTGAGCCACCCGGGCATCCCTAAATTAATAATTTTTTATTTTAATTCCAGCATAGTCAATAGACAGTGTTATATTAGTTTCAGGTGTGTAACACAATGATCAACACTTCCATGCATCACCCAGCGCTCATTGCAAGCTCCCTCCTTCATCCCCATCCCTATTCACTCATCCCTCCAACCGTCTGCCCCAACCCTCCTATCCCTCTGGGTAACCATCAGTTTGTTCTTTGTAGTTAAGAATCTGTTTCGTGATTTATCTCTTTCTTCCCCCTTTGTTTTGCTTTTTTCTTTTTAAGATTTTATTTATTCATGAGAGACACAGAGAGAGGCAGAGACATAGGGAGAGGGAGAAGCAGGCTACCTGTAGGGAGCCCGATGTGGGACTCAATCCCAGGACCCCGGGATCACAACCTGAGCCAAAGGCAGACGCTCAACCACTGGGCCAACCAGGCGTCCCTCAGAGGTAGTTTTAATGTGGGGATTCAAATGTGGGATTTTTTTAGTTTTCATCACATGTGCTCTTTCATCACAAAAAAGATTTCTCTCTCCCTCTTTTTTTTAGGAGTTTAGTTATTTATTTGAGAGAGAGAGAGCAGAGCAAGAGAGCACATGAGTGAGGAGGAGGGGCAGAGGGAGAGGAAGAAGCAAACTCTTTGCTGAGCAGGGAGCCCATGCAGGGTTTGGTCTCAGGACCCTGGGATTGTGACCTGACCCGAAGGCAGACATTTAACCAACTGAGCCACCCAGGTGTCCCCAAAAAGGTTTCTTTTCATTTCCAATAATACTTCTTGACTTGAAGTCTGTAGTGTAACACTGGTGTAACCATGTCAGCTTTCTCATGCCCATGCTTCCCATGCTGATATTCAAAGCAAGTTTCTTATGAAAGCATACAGTTGTGCCTGCCTGCTTGCTTGCTTTCTTTCTTTCTTTCTTTCTTTCTTTCTTTCTTTCTTTCTTTCTTAATCTTGGCTGATATTCTTTGCTTTTAATCAAGGAGTTAGTCCATTTATATTTAATGTGACTATTGATATAGTTGGGTTTAACCTGCCATCATAGGTATTTATGCTCTCCTTGTCCTGTCTGGTTTTTGTTCCTTTGTGCCTTCTTTCCTGCTTTCTTTTGGGTGAATCATGCTTTCTTTCTTTTTTTTTTTTTTAGTATCTAATTTTATTCCCTATGTTGTTAAAATCTGTACCTTTTGGTGTGTGTATATGTGGTTTTCTTTTTTCTTTTTTTTAAGTGATTACTTTAGAACTGTGTTGCTCAGTACAGTAGTTGTACTGTATACACAGCTATTAAGTTTCAATTAATTAGGGCACCTGGGTGGCTCAGTAGTTGAGCATCTGCCTTTGGCTCAGATCCTGATCCCGGGGTCCTGAGATCAAGTCCCACAACAGACTCCACAGAAGGAGCCTGCTTCTCCCTCTGCCTGTCTATCTGCCTCTCTCTCTCTGGGTCTCTCATGAATAAATAAATAAAATATTTAATTGAAAAATATTTCAGTTAGTTAAAATGTGAAAAAATTAAAATGAGCCCCTGGCTTAAGGAGGACACTGTTGTGATGACACTGAATGTTGCATGGACATGCTGAATCACTAAATTCTGCACCCAAATCTAATGTTATACTGTATGTTAACTAACTGGAATTTAAATAAAAACTTGAAAAAAAATAAAACCTATCCCTGGGTATATATTCTGGAGAATGGGTTGAGAAGATGGTAGAACTAGAAATAGGAAGTAAGTTGGGAACGTTGTTTTGGAAACACTGGCACAATTTTGTGAGATGTTAGTAATAGTTGAAGAGCTATTGTAGGACCCAGAAATCCTGGGAGGCAGGATTGACTCCAGTGGCTGTAAATGTCATGTCCAAGTTGGGAGTGGGGGAGGCCTGGTGACTGAAGTTTTCTAGCATGGGCTAGAAGTGAATGTTGATGCTGTTAGTGGGGGCAGGGAATGTAGGAGTCAGGTTTAGATATTTGTCAGAATTTCAAAGTACAAGTGAGTGTAGGCAGCTGGCTGCCTGGGTCCAGAATTTTGGAGAGCTGCGAAGAGCAGAGACTTTGAGTTTCTAATTCACAGACTGAGGAAATAAAAAGGTATATGAAATCACCATGGTAGTATTATAGAGTAAAAATATACAGAAGTGTGGGATTGCCAGCATTTAAGGGGAAGAGGAGACTCTAGGCAGAGTCTGGGGACAGATGGAAGGAAGGCTAGGAGAGAGAATGTCACTGAATACGAGGGAATAGAATCATGAATGAATTGTTAAATGGCAGTGAAAGGTTTTCTAGGCAGGTGTTCTATAGGTAATATTTGACAAATTAGGCTTAGATCTGCTGGTCTAAGATGCAGCAAAGTGCTTTGAAAATATGTCTTTTAGACTCTATCCATTCGTTGCCTTTATCTGTTTGCATTTATTTTATCTGGCTGTGTACTAGGCACTCTCCTGGGAATTACAGGTAGAACCTTGAATGAAAATGAGTCTCTGTCCTACTCTTTCAGCAAAGAAAGACATGCAAGCAAATATTAGAATATGAAATGTAAGGGTCTGGAAATAAACAGAGGCTGTAGGAAGGGCTGCAGGAGCCCAGGAAAAAGAACAGCCAGCTATTTTGTGCCTTCCACATGCCATTCCTTCCATATTGATCATTCTCTTCCTGCTTCTTCACCAACATGGCTTTCAAAACTCAGCTCCAGCATCCTCTGGAAACTTCCTTTGATTACTTTTATTTCTTTAACAGAAAAAACAGTGACTCATATTAGACAGTGTACCTCTAAAGCAATCGAAAAGAAAAGAAAAGAAAAGAAAAGAAAAGAAAAGAAAGAAAGAAAGAAAGAAAGAAAGAAAGAAAGAAAGAAAGAAAGAAACAGAGCAGGGGAGGGAAGGAGTGAGGAACGGGAACCAAATGGAAAAAAAAATAGTATGTACTCATTAGAAGGACTTCGAATAATATGGAAAATACAAGGAAGATCACCCAAGATCCCAGCACCTAGAAGTAATCATTATTCACATTAGATTGACATCATCCAGATATATCCTTGTAGGTCTGTCCATACAAAAGGGTGGATGGAAATAATTTTACATCATTAGGATCACACTATATGTGCTATTTTAAGGGTTGCTAAGTGCTTAATTTCACTTTGAGATTAGCGTAGTGTCAGCAATACTTCCAATTTTAAAAGAAGAGGATTAGTAAAAAAAAATGCTGAACTTCACATAAAGGGTTCTTTACAAAAGATAGTAATTACTAAAAGATCCATCTAAGGTGACGAAGAAAAGATGGTGGTTTTGAAAAGCCGTACGTTCCCATATGTTTCCCTTTTCAACAGCTCAATAGGACTCCTCTGTGAAGTGATGGAGAAATTAACATGTCCAACTTTCTTCCACCTCCCCCACCCCGCCCCAAAACCCCAGCCCCCAACTGCTTCCTGACTTCCAGTTATAATTACAGCATCACCATGTACAACATTTATCTATCTTTCTTTTTTTTTTTTAACAATGTTTTTTTTTTTAATTTTTATTTATTTATGATAGTCACAGAGAGAGAGAGAGGCAGAGACACAGGCAGAGGGAGAAGCAGCCTCCATGCACCGGAAGCCCGATGTGGGATTCGATCCCGGGTCTCCAGGATCGCGCCCTGGGCCAAAGGCAGGCGCCAAACCGCTGCGCCACCCAGGGATCCCTATCTATCTTTCTATAACATAATCCATGTGTCTGTTGATCCCCAGGCTCAATATTTCGATGGCCCCAGCTCTCTCCACCATATCTTCAGTCATGGTCTCTGTCTTCTCCATCCTAGAGTTCCTTATTTCTACTCACCTCTTGCTTGGCTAGATTTCATCATCAAGTGGCTTTCTCAAGAAGGACCCCAGTGGTCACTGGAGTCCCCCGGAGTCTGTCCGCTAGCCTTATGCTGGAATGACAGCTGGCTGAGCATAACTTTGCTGGGTCTTGTATTCTCTCCCTTGGACTTCTGACAGTTAATCCTCCTCTGTGTCCCAGACTCATGGGAAATCAGGTTTTTTCTTTACTACTACACCTCCCCTCATGCCACCTCCACCTTTTATGAATCGGAATTGCAGATTGCAGGAAACATACATGAGCTCTTTACCTTTTCCCTCACTGCACGGGAGAGAATTATTAGTGGGGAGGCTGGCCATGGCTATGATCCTATGATGTGAGCCAAGGTCTTTCTGCAGTATTAACCACGAATTTCTGTCTTCCTTTCTAGAGATAATTGATGACCTTGCCAACCTGGTGGAAAACACAGATGGGAAGCTCCGCACCGAGACCAGGCGTGTGAACATGGTGGACAGAAAGTCAACGTCTTGCGGTAAAGGATAAGCTAACCTTAAGATTTTGCCTCTCTCAAAGCCTGCAGATTTACTCTGCTTTCATTTTCCCACATTTGTCTAATTCCTGCAGGGATCAGGATGGTTGCTCTTCTAATGCAGACAGTCCCATTTAATGAAGCATTGAAATTGCTAAAAGAGACCCAAATCTTGTGAAAATGCAGTGAGATGTAGGGCTGGGTGGCCCTGTCCATTAAGCATACCACTCTTGATCTCAGCTCAGGTCTTGATTTCAGGGTCGTGAGTTCAAGCCCCATGCCTAGTGTGGAGCCTCCTTAAAAAAATAATACTGAAATAAAATAAAACGAAGTGACTTGCTCCAGGTATGGGAGAAGTACAATGCATTGCTAATCTTTTTAAATTTAAAATAAGAAACCTCTCTGTGTGTTTACAGAGGAATACCAGTTTGGGAAATTGTGTGACGATATGCAGATGGGTGCTGGTAGATCCTCGCGGGTGTTAAAGGCGATCTTGCTTCCTTTGTGCCTTTTTATGGTCATGAGCTTAGATGCCCTGGTCCTGCCCTAGAGGTTCTGATTAAGTAGGGCCAGGATGGAGTGGATAAGTGTTCCTTATTTAACAAATATGGCAGGATGTTCTGGTGCAGGTACTTGCTACACTGCTGAGGCTCCGATGCAGAGTTCTGTGAGGTTTGAATTGTCTATTGCCTGTGCAGGGTGTCTTGCCCGAGGTAAGTGGTGATAGATGGTAGTGACAGTAGTGGTGACTGCAGTGATTGCTACTGGGTTGCTCTTCATCTCACAAAGGCTCATAAGGTTTATGAAGCTCATACCTTTATTGCAAACAGAAGTACAACAGCACTCAAAACACCGGTGTCTGAGCACGTGCTTTGCCTATTAGCCCTTTTGATACAAAAAATACAATGGAGGGATCCCTGGGTGGCGCAGTGGTTTAGCACCTGCCTTTGGCCCAGGGCGCAATCCTGGAGACCCGGGATCGAATCCCACGTCGGGCTCCCAGTGCATGGAGCCTGCTTCTCCCTCTGCCTATGTCTATGCCTCTCTCTGTGTGTGTGACTATCATAAATAAATAAAAATTAAAAAAAAATACAATGGATTCCCTCCAATCTGTCCCGTTTTAGAAAATAGATCTCGGGCAGCCCCAGTGGCTCAGCGGTTTAGCTCCACCTTCAGCCCAGGGTGTGATCCTGGAGACCCGGGATCGAGTCCCACGTCGGGCTCCCTGCATGGAGCCTGCTTCTCCCTCTGCCTGTGTCTCTGCCTCTCATGAATAAATAAATAAAATCTTGAAAAAAGAAAATAGATCTCTGTGCAGGGATGACCTGAGATGTACAGCCTGGGGGGCCTTACGTTCTTTATCTGACATGCTGGTGAAGCAGAAGTCTAGAACAACAGGGTGACTGAGGACAGGCAGCCAAGGACTCGAGAACCTCGGGAACCTCAGGGACCCTGTGGGGCCTCCCTGCTCCCCTGTTACCACCTGCCTGTGCTCCCTAGCCCAGGAGTTCTCATCCACCAGATACCAGCCACTCTGCGCTGCTGCTCCTAGGAGCGTGCACTTCTTTCTGCTTCCTGCTGAAGGCAACATCTCCTTGCTTTTTGCTTTACCAACAACCTTCTCATGTAACTTCTGCCCCCAGGGACTTTGTTCTGCACCAGATCCTTTGGAAATAGAGAGATGGGGGTTCATACCCCTCCTCTTGCGTATCTTAATTGATTTTTATTTCTGTAGAAACTTAAGCTTGCTCAGTCTTGGTTGCCCGGCTTGTAAAAGAGCAGACAATGTGGTTATCAAAATTAAAGTATATAGAATATGTGAGGTGTCTAATGCCATCTTCCCTGACTTTCCATATTTAGGGGGGGAAGCCTTGCAATGGGAGGAGTGTGAGAGGGGGAGTTCCAGAGCCTGGACTTGCATTCCAGCTCCACCAGTCACCAGCTATGTGCCCTTGGGAATGCACAAAACTCCCCTTTGGGTTTCCTTGTCTTTGAAATGGGAATGCTAATGGTATATCCCTGAGAGCGTGTTGTAAAGGATAAAAGAATCAATATAAATATAGGTAAAGATACAGGTACAGTTACAGATTATATGGATACAGATACATAGCACTTAGAATAGTATGTGGCACAGAGTAAGCTGTGAGCAAGTATTAGCTATCATCTCTACGTGTCTAAAGTAGGAATAGTCCTGGGCAGTTAAGCATCTGACTCTTGATTTTGACTCAGGTTGTGATCTCAGGGTTATGGGATTGAACCCTGAGATGAGCTCTGCACTCAGCCCAGAGTCTGCTTGAGATTCTTCTTCTCCCTCTCCCTCTGCCCCCCACCCCCCACCGCACTTGCTCACTCTGTCTCTAAATAAATAAATACGGGCAGCCCTGGTGGCTCAGTGGCTTAGCACCACCTTCGGCCCAGGGCGTGATCCTGGAGACCCAGGATTGAGTCCCATGTCGGGCTCCCTGCGTGGAGCCTGCTTCTCCCTCTGCCTGTGTCTTTGCCTCTCTCTCTCTCTCTCTCTCTCTCTCTCTCTCTCTCTCTCTCTCTCTGTGTCTCTCATGAATGAATAAATAAAATCTTTATAAAATAAATAAATACAATAAAGTCTTTAAAAATAAATAAATAAAGTAGGAATAGGCTTCCCAATTCAGTGACAATATTTCTTGAAGTCTTTTTTATATGCAAAGCAGCCACGCTTTATTAATTTGGGATGAATGTATTTATAGATACATTGGTAAGCTTTTTGTATTTGCAGAGCAGTGGCCCTCTGCACATGTTATTCATGAAGTTGTAATGAATGTTACTTCTGTTACCAGTATTTTTATTTTATGGTATTGCTTAGTGTTGGTGTTTATACCCAGAAATGTGCATAACATCTTCTGACTTGAACTGTTTCATTTTTTTTAATAGAAGAAATTTAGAGATTCTCGTAATTACTAAAATGCATGTTTTTAAAACTTGGTATCTTAAAATAAGTTACCTGTAAATTTGTCTTATGTACCATTTATATTTAGTTATAGATAATCTGTAACAGAATTACAATTGGCCCTTGCACAATTGAGAGGTCAAGGGTGCTGAACCCCCCCTCGGCAGGTGAAAATCTGCATATAGCTTTTGAATCCTTCAAAACTTAGCTATTAAGACTACTGTTGACTGGAAACTTTACCTGTAACATTAACAGTCAATTAACACATAGTTTGTATGTTATATGTATTCTATATTTTACTCTTACAAAAAAGGAAGCTAGAGAAGAGAAAATGTTAAAATCATAAGGAAGAGAAAGTACATTTATTGTACCACACTGTGTTTATTGACAACTGTCCACATGTTAAGTGGACCCGCACAATTCACACCTGTGTTGTACAAGGGTTAACCATATATATAGGGGCTCGTAAGAGAGAAGTCCAGTTGTGCAGCAGTGTTAAATAGACATTTCTTTAGTCTTTTAGTGGAAATACTTCAAAGAAAATTATTTCCTCTTATCTCATCAATTTTTTTGCCCTAATATTTACTTAGCAGTGCCATTAGTATGATAGATCAACACCCCAGTAACTAACCTTATAGCATTTCTGATGCCTGCTACCTTTAAAGGAAAATTTGTGTGTATATTCTTATAGGGAAATCTATAATTACGTATATGTTTGTTGGCAAGCAGTGCTAGTTTCTGCATATTGGTAAAGGTTCATCAAGAGTCCCAAGCTCTAGAGAGGTCAGACTGGCTTCATGACACCCCACAATTAACTTCTAAGTCTCCCGCTGATCAGTACGAAGCCTGTGAAGGTACTATGCCCTGTGGAATTTACTGAGTGAGTTACTATGCCCTGTGGAATTTACTGAGTGAGTCCAGCAGCCCTTGCCAAAATTGACCTAATTTTTTTTTTTTTTTGGTAAAATTTTATTTTTATTTATTTGAGAGAAAGCACAAGCAGAGGGAGAGAGAGAAACATACTCCCCGCTGAGCAGGGAGCCTGATATGGGGCTCAATCTGAGATCATGACCTGAGCTAGAGTCACATGCTTAAGAGAGCTGCCCAGGCACCCCTAATAACCTAACTTTAAAAAAAATTTATTACGGTAAAAAGATACATAAATATAAAACATACATAAAATTTGCCATTGTAACGATTATATTTTTTTATTTTTACTTTTTAAAGATTTTCTTTATTCATGAGAGAGACACAGAGAGAAAGGCACAGACACAGGTAGAGGAGAAGCAGGCTCCACGCAGGGAGCCCAATGTGGGACTCGTTCCTGGGTTTCGAGGATCACACCCTGGGCCGAAGGCAGGTGCCAAACCGCTGAGCCACCCGGGCTGCCCCATTGTAACGATTTTAAGTGTGCAGTTCAGTGGCATTGAGTACATTCACGCCACACAGCCGTCAGCACTGTCCTCCTCAGAACCTTTCCATCTTCTCCAGCTCTTACCTCATGAAACACTGACTCTCCCTTCTTCTCCAGCTGGCCCCTGTGAGCCACCACTACTTTCTGATGACACCAGGTACCTCATAGGAATAAACTCACATGGTATATGTCCTTTCATGTCTGGCTAATTTCATTCAAAAAAACGTCTTCAGTACTCTTCCATGCTGTAGTGTGTGTCATGAATTCCTTTCTTTTTCAGGCTAAATAATATTCCTTTGCATATCCATACTACATTTTGTCTATCCATTTATCTGTCAGCAGACCTTTTGGCCATTATGGTGAGTAATGCCTGCATGAACGTAGGTGTACAAGCACTGATTCAAGACACTGCTTTTTTGTGTATATGCTCGGAAGTCATCTTGCTGAATCAAATGGTAAATTCGGTGTTTATTTTTTTTTAAGGAACAAGTTTATTAACCTGTCCTTTTGTTTTGCTTCCAATCCTTAAACTCTCTCTTTAAAAAAAAAAAAAAAATATATATATATATATATATATTTATTTTAGAGAGATCGAGAGAGCGTAAGCAGGAGGAGAGGCAGGAGAAGGACAGAGAGAATCCCAAGTGAAGTGCTCCACATTGAACGTAGAACCTGATGTAGGACCCAACACAGGGCTCGATCTCATGTCCCCAGGGTCATGCCCTGAGCCAAAATCAAGAGTTAGACACTTAACGGACTTAGCCACCCAGGTGGCCCCGCCCCAAGTCCTTAAACTCATAGATACTTTTTGATGGTTTGATTATTTTCTTGATAAAGCCCATATGCAGGCAGGAGTCAGGGACTTTTTATCCAGAGAGAGGCAGACAGGTGGAGTAGAAGTTACTGCCCTGGCCCACCCCAGCTGAAAAGTGTAACAGGAGACCTTTCCCCCATTGAAGTGGGTGGCCAGAGAGCACCCTTAGGGTAAGAGTGAACCAGGAGTAAGGTACCCTTGGGAAGTATGGAGAAGGCAGCCTTGGCACTGAGAAAATTAGAGAAGGAAATAGACAAAACCATAGTTCCTGACAAGTCATGGGCACAGAAGGGCCCTCATGTGGATTTGCGTTTTGGGCATCCATACCCAGGATGAGCCAGGAAATCACATACTCTGCATCTGGTCTGGGGCAGATACAGGTGCTAAAGCTCTAGGCTCCTGGCAGAAATAATGACCCACCTGTCAGGAAGAGGGCATCTTTATCCCTGGTCTCGAAGAATCAACCCAAAACGAATGGTTCAGAGCAGTGACCAGCACACAGTCAAAGATAACCTAGCAACATGAGCTGGAACCAGCAACAGGCCACAGTTATCAATCTGCACAGACTCACAGTTGTAGAATTATCAGACACAGATAGTTAAAATCAACTATGCTTGGTATATTTTAAAGAAAGAAATGACAGTCTTGAAAGATCCTCAGAAAATAGGAAACCTTAAAAAGTAGCAGAAAACTTGAGAAGGGACCAAAACCAAGCTCCTACAAATTAAAAAAAAAAAAAAAAAAACCTGAAATTTGAAACTCAGTGGGCATATTTGGTAGCAGCAGCAGCAGCAGCAGCAACAGAGAGAATCAGCCAGGGGACAAGCTCTGAGAAAATATAAGCCATATTCCCTTTCCAAAAGTGCTAGTAGCTAGCACTACAAGAGGATGTCCAAACGCTGTGCAAGTTACATTACGATCTTAATAAGAAAGGGTTTGGAGGGCTTGGTCCGGGACCTCAAGACATCGCAAAGGGTTGATTCCCCTGCCCTTCCCAAATGCAAGACACGATCGTTCCCATGTAAACACACACACGCGAAGCCACAAGCAAGGTATATTTTAACTGTTGGTGGGGTAGGCGTTAAGCAACCCCCTCAAATGTCCCTCGATTACTGCTCACGTGGCACTCTGTTTGTTTAACTGCAGGGACTCGCGTGAGCTGAGGGTAGCAGGCACTACATTATCATTTTAAGTGCAGGAGTAGGTTGTGAACCGTGAAATGGTCTTTTGTCTCCCTCCCCTGGGCATGTCTTCCTTGCTGATCTGATACATACATAAGTCATAGACGCTTTCATAGGGAAGAAAGTTCCAGTTATTCTCACAGACCGAATTGCATGGGGGGCCACACAGCAGGGCCCAGTGATGAATTTGTTTGTGCTGTTGTTAACAAAGGATTCAAGCACCGCTTTGTAAACCTTTCACTCAGGAGCCCCGGCTGTAAAAATTTTACTGAGTCTTTGTCCAGCAATTCCTCCTTCGTTTTCCCTGCCCACCCCTGGCCCCCCAAATAGCATCTGGAAACCAAGATTTTCTTTTTCCAGCTCCCAAACATGAATTAGACTGGTATTTTCCGTGGGTCACGGAAATATGTACTTGCAGATCCTGTTGCTTGTGTCAGGGTGTCTCCATAAAAGCAAGACCTTTGTCATTGCCGTTAAATATTCAGTGTGCCTCGTCCTCATTAGAATTCAAAATAGAGCTTCGTCTGAGTCGGACGGACGAAGCCAATTGTGAAGGCCAGACTGAGAGTTCTGAATGACTCGGGGTGAGGGACAGTGCTGCTTGCTTCTCAGCATATTGACTATTATGTAATGTTGTCTAAGCACATCGATTGTGATTGTAGCCACACTCAAGAGATGTGAGAAATCCACCCAACTGACATTGCGCTAACAGTGTCCAAACCTGGGACCTTCGATGGGCCTTCAGCATTTTAGCATGTGGCTGTCTTAGGGACACTTACAAGTAGTACCACACAGCACCGATGTGCCCCAGCAGGGTCACAAGGTGGACTCTGCTTCTTAGGACCTGGGTGCCTGGGAAAGCCACCTGCCCCATCTGAGGTCATGCCTCTTGGTTTATGAAAATGAGGGACCACATGGTGACTCTGCAGATTCAGTGAGAGCAAGCTGGTGGCACAGTGAGTGATTCTAGTGTGTCCTCAGCACATGCCACCTGTGTGAAAGTGTGGGTTTAAATTAGTTGCTGAGGGGCCCCTGGGTGGCTCAGTGGTTGACCACCTGCCTTCGGCTCAGGGCGTGACCCTGAGGTCCTGAGATCGAGTCCCGTATCGGGCTCCCCACAGGGAACCTGCTTCTCCGTCTGCCTGGTCTCTGCCTCTCTCTCTGTCTCTCATGAATAAAAAAATAAGATCTTTAAAAAAATAATAAAAGTAAATTGGTTGCCAAGGGTCGCCTTGATAAATAAGACTCAGAGGCTCGGACCATCGGAAGTCAGCACAGCAGGGCTGTTAAGGAGTATAGTGATGATCTGAGAAAGTTGCACAGGGATATTCTGGAGCTTGGAGGTTCACATCATCATTAAATTGGAAATGGAGTCCCTTTCTTTCAAATAAACTAAAGTTTATAATTTTGTGGCTGAAGCCATTATCAGGCCTGAAATTGGTAAGGGGCACCTCTAGCGCGTCGTGGAGGGCGCTGCCTTCCCTCAGATAAGCGCGAACATATGTTTTTCTTATATTAGCTCTTTTGAACCTAACACAATTAGGAAGCTGAATTCTAAGTTGTCTGGCTTATTTAACTAAACTTGGAGACCATTAAATCTCTCAAGGAATTGTTTTCAAAACCCTACAACAGGGGCACCTGGGTAGCTCGGTGTGTTAAGCATCTGCCTTTGGTTCAGGTCATGATCTGAGGGTTATGAGATAAAGCCCCATATCGGGCTCCCTGCTCATTGCGGAGTCCGCGTCTCCCTCTCCCTCCTCATGCTCTCTCTCTCAAATAAATAAATAAAATCTTAAAATATAAATAAATAAAACCACCACCAACACAGATAATTTATTTTATTTTATTTTTTTATTGGAGTTCAATTTGCCAACATACAACACAGATAATTAGATATCTAACTACAGAGCAGAAGAATAACTGTGTGGGTTCTTTTGTTTCTCTTACTGCTTATTGAGAATAATATTCTTGCCCTATCGTCTGCTTCTTTCTCTTCTCCTCCTTCAAGGAGATAATCCAGTGAAATTCATCTGTTCCCTTATTCTTTACAGACCTGTGCGTCTGTCTCTGTGCCCCACTGCTGTCTTTCATTCCACGTCTATGGAGAAATGCCCGGCCCTCCACTGATGCATGTCTGCCTTCAAAGCCATCTTGTGCTCAAGCTTCATCCCCCATCCATCCATTCATTCTTTTCTTCTCTATCAGCACAGGGCATCAGCTGTGGGCCAGACACTGGGCTCGATCCTGGAGCCGAAGGGTGAGTAGGGTGCAGCACCTTTCCCGGGGGACTGTAGAGTGGAGAAGGACCCAATGTAGATCCCCAGTGACTGCAGGTGGTACAGGTAGAGAAGGATCTCAGCCTGGGGGCTCCAGGGTTCCAGGAGGATGCACCATGGGAGCAGAGGCCTGAGGAGGGAGCCGGACGGGCTTCCCCTGGGTCTGGTGTGGTAACATGGAAACTCAGAGTAAGCAGGATGTGTAATCTGAGACCCCATGTGAGGGAGAGAGGGAGGGGAGAAAAGGAGAGCAGGACAGAAGGGAAGGTGGGCTGACCTGTGTCAGAACTGGAGAGGAGGGTTTGCTAGAACATTCAGAGCTAACACATTCCCTGAGAGCACTGTGAGCCAGCCAGGCTTGGAGCCTGCTGGCCAGAGACTGTTGGTGCCTGGAATACTTTTCTAACTTATTAATTGAAACTTCAAGGAAAATCTACTTCTGATCTTAATATTTTGGTACCTCTAGTCATTTTTTTTTCTACTCATAGTATTTTTACACAGTGATGACAGTACTCTATTTTTAATCCTTCTATCTTTTTAACATTTTATTATAAGCCCTTTTTTTCTTTTGGCATCAAGAGTACTGTTCAATCAAATAGATGTAGCATCATTTACTTAGGGGGGCTTGTTTGGGGGCTCTTCAACTGTTTCCTCATTTGGCTGTATAAATAATGCTGTATTACATACATCAAGCTTTTTTCTGTATATAAGATTTTTTTCTGGGACGCCTGGGTGGCTCAGCGGTTGGGCATTTGCCTTTGGCTCAGGGTGTGATCTTGGAGTCCCAGGATCGAGTCCCACATCGGGCTCCCCACATGGAGCCTGCTTCTCCCTCTGCCTGTGTCTCTGCCTTTCTCTCTCTTTCTCTCTCTGTCTCTCATAAATGAATGAATGAATGATAAACCTTTTAAAAAAATAAGGTTTTTTTTTCCTGTCAAGTAGGGTATAAGGTAGGATCCTTCCAGGGCCAGAATCAGACATGGGGTCTGGCTCTTATTTCGACAGGGCCCTGATGGGGAGGTTGTTTGAACAGAGAAGGGCCAGGAGGCTGGAGGGATGGAGACAGAGCACTCATCCCTGGGCAGAGACAGCAAGGCCAGGATGCTGCAGCCAGAGTAGCTAAGTGTCCCCACCTCTGTTGGTCAGAGAAGGGGTGCAGAACCAGCCAGGCCTGGCTGCCAGCGGTGGGCAGAGGAGGCATCTGGTCACATTGAACTTCATTAAGGAGCTCCCTCAAAATGGAACCTGGGGCTGGATCTGGACAGCCAGGAAAAAAAAAAAAAGCAAAACAAAAGGCAGCCATTACAACATCATGACTTATTTCCTAAGTAGATTTATTTAGGCCCAGGATGGGAGCAGTGTTAGGTTGATAATATTGCCAAATTACTTTCCAGTGATGTAGCAGAAACTAGCCTCCACTCAGACTTGTTAGCCACAGAGTGTTGCTAAAATCCTCACTCTCCTTGAATAACTTCTGGTATTTGAGGTCTGTTCACCGGAAAACCCTCTTCTTCCTCGATTCCCATGACACAGTGTTATCCCAAGATCATCCTGCCGCTCCAGCTGCTCACCCGTTCCCTTCCTTTGTTCTGGTGTTTGCTGTATGCCACTGTCCACTGGGCACTGAAGAGGAGTCAGAGAAGACCTGGTGGCTGGCCTCAGGGAGCACTCAGGAAGGCGGCAAGGGCAGCGCAATAAAGTCTACTGGATGTGCACACAACCCCATCGAAGCAACTTGATTGGGGCCACTCATTCTGGAAAGTTAAGTGGGAATACAGCAGAGGCAGGTTAGCATTCCGGGCAGTAGGAAATGCAGGCTTGCGGGAGGTACTAAGGCCCGAACAACACTCGATTTCTCAAACAAGAAGTGGGGGGCTGGCCGGAGAACTTCAAGGAAAGTGCATGGAGGCAAAGCTGGGCCAGCCCAAGGGGAGCCCAGGCCACAAACCCAGGCCCCTTTGGGCTGGTATTGCCTTCCTTCTTCCTGCTTCTACTCAGTCTTCCTGGCACTTTACCCTGAAGCTTATTCATCTGCTCTTCTGGACGGTACCACGGTCGACCGGCAGTTCCCATCCTAAACCCAGACTTCCCCTAAAGTTCAAGGTCTGTGTCTTTGCCTGCTGCCAGTCCGTTTCTCTGGCCTGTCCCCTGGCATCCTCGCAATCATGCATCTTCTTCGTACACCAGATGTCCCCAGCTCCAAAGCAACCCCACGCTCGTTTTCTTGGGAGAAGCCTGAATTCTGGGTCTTCCAGTGAAATCGCCTAGTATGTTCATGTTGACCGTAAATTAACATTTTAAAAAAATGTCCACATGGGCCAAATAAAACATGTCACAACGTACACTTGGGGACCTCTCGTTCACATCCATCGAGTCAGCCCCCTGGGCCTCTTTGAGAATGACTCTGAAATCTCCCTCTTCCTTCTTTGTCACTTGATATTCTCGTCGCTCTGTTTCTGGCTCTTGTCACGTTTATGTAGCCATTAAAAATAATGACGATCGAGTCTGTTTATCAGTATAGGAAGATGTGTGTGAGTGGAATCTTGATCATATTTATATAAACCGTGGCCCACATCTTCTGGTTTGGTGTATGAATGCAGCAAATGTCCCCCCTCCAGCTCTCAGCACTACACAGAAAAATAAGATGAGTCTTTCTGCATAAGGTGCTTATTTTTTTAACATGCTTTTCCCAACTGATTTAAAATTGTTTCCCTCTCTTAGACCTACCTGCTGCATTAGATCATAGATACCGAGTAGTAAAAGCATACAGTTTACAACTCTTAGGAGATCTGCTTCTGAAACCCAGAAGAAATCTTTGGTGCTCTGATGACCATATTGGGTTTGCCCCGATGTGTTTCAGGGGCTAGCGTGTACAGCTCACAGACCTTTCCCTCCCCAGGCACCCTTACCTCCTCCCTTCTTCCCAGGCCCTGTGTTTGTTCATGAAATGTGTATAATGCACGTGTGAAGGGTTTGTGGTCAGATGTCTTGTATATTGTGACTACATCACTGTTGTCTGCTTTGATTTTGAGTCTCTACTGTAGAAAAGCCCATTTTTCTGCTAACAGCATTTATTTGGGAGGGAGCAATAGGAGCAGTAAGTTCAGATGTCAGTGCTTCAGCTTAATCCAGGCAAAACGAAGCTTTTGAGAGAAGCACAAAATTGGAAAACCTTTATTTAATGGAAGGTGATTGATAGGGGCTGACAGCTTCAGAGCTATCGCCACCACTGCCTCAGAAGCCTCCACGCTTCTGTAATCTGCCGCGAGGCTATCATCAAGGGGTCAGAGATGATCACAAAGTAGAATCATTTTTTGATTATTGTTTTTGCTTGGTATGGTTTGGAAAGATAAGGTGTGATTTCCAAGAGTAGCTTCTGTTGGGCTGGGAGGTCGTAATTACACTGTGTGGGCCTTGGTCGGTGCTACCCTGTGTACGTGTTTGTGCGTGCTTTCCAATACTGTCTGTTCACTAGTGACTTCATGTGCTTTCAGCTGGCCCTGTGGGACCTGAAAGCCCTGGCCAGCTTCAAAGGATGGTCAGGAGGCCTGGGACAAGTTGTGTTTTGCATACTCAAAGTATACTTTACCTCTGTTATTTGCCTACTGCCTGTGGGCGGGGGAGAGTGCCCGACACCTGCTCAGCATGTTGCCAGCCCAACCTAACCCTTCACGTCTTTACCGTTACACCCAAGTGCTTCCCATTCATAAATGGGTTTTCTTTTATATTTGTAAATTAAAATGAAATGAAGAATTGAGTTATGATCCTGACGGAAATTACCTAAGCTGGGAAAGCCCGAGAACGGGACGTCACTGGATGTCTCTGTCCATGTAAAACCAGTGGCTCAGACTAGATGCTCTTTGCGGCTCACCCAACTCTGTCGTCCTCTTTCCATACCCCTTTGAAGAGCATCAGGGACCCTGCTGCCCGCAATCCTGCCACACCCAACACATGCACACAGAGTAATAAATCAGAGATGAGCCAGGGGTCTAGACTCAAACTGTGTCTGTCTCATTTCCCGCAGGTTGGCCAGCACCAAGTTAGATACTTGCAGAATTAAGTCATACCTGAACAGGGATTAATTAATTCTGAACATACCCGAACATACCTTAATTCTATCTGCATCATCACATGATGCTAAGTTGGTTGTAAACATTATTAACCAAAAAAAAATAATAATAATTAACCAATGTCTATGATTTTTCTCATCAGAAAAAAAACAAGAAAGGCAGAAATTTTTAATGGAAGATAGACAGTTTGGTGGATTTTAGTCTGTACCCAAATAGGAAAATAAAGGAATGGGGTTATAGGTGTAACTCCTGGGTTCTGTGTTCAAAAGTAGCTGCCAGAAAGAGATTCCTAGCACTTTGCTCTCACATCAGGCTATTTCTAGTTACATTTTTAGAAATGAGTTGGCAGGCATTTTTTTTTTTTTTTAACTTTTTGAAAAACATCTCTGAGGGACGCCTGAGTGGCTCAGCGGTTGAGCGTTTACCTTTGGCTCAGGGCGTGATCCTGGAGACCCGGGATCGAGTCCCACATCAGGCTCTCTGCATGGAGCCTGCTTCTCCCTCTGCCTGTGTCTGTCTGTCTCTCTCTCTCCCTCTGTGTCTCTCATGAATAAGTAAATAAAAATCTTTAAAAAAAATCTCTGAGATTTAAACTTTTAGTACAGATTTTCATGGCTCTCCCCTCTTATAAAATGTAAGTATAAACTGGATCAGATGAGCACCTAGCTGGTTTTAGGGTTGTTAAAGTCACAGTTGTTCACAAGTAGATTATCTTCTTCATTTGTAATCAAAACAGAAACAGGCATCAGATTATCCACCTGATTTCTTGTGTCCCCTCTGTTTAGGGGGCCTCCTAGCCCCCAGCCAGTTTTTGGTGGGTGCTCAGAGAATGGGGTGGTTTTACTTGGACATTAACTGTGATACCCAACATTGCTTAGGAGACATAGCAACCACTGATAAATAAAGTTGACCATTGCTGTCATCTTAGAAATGGTAACAACTCACACCTGGCCATAGTAACATCTAACTCTGTACACAGCATCTCTCTCGGGCACGTTTGTTATTCCGGTCATGAGTGAACCCCACTTGTACCTGCTCTTCACCCTTCAGCTTGCTTCGTGGCAATGCTGATGGTCCAGAGCATCTGCCCCTCTGACTTTCTCCTGATCCTAATGAAACATGCCCACCCGGAAGTACATTATGTTGGAGTGAAGTAGAAGAGATTGGGAATTTGTAAGTATTCAAAAAATAGATAATTCTCCCTTACCAAGCCCCTTGGACATGCAGCATTATCAGCCAGATATTAACATTTAAGGAACTCGACCCTAGATGTTTCATTGAGAGCTTGAGAGATCCCTCCATCGGCTCCACCACAACCTCACCAGTGACTTGGTATTTATTTTTTGGCTCACCTTTTCTTTCTATCTCACAGCCAAGTGATCGTGACAATTTCCAGTCATTGAGCCAGTGTTAAATTCCTAAGAAAAATTGATTTGGGGCTCATTTTCAATCACTGATGAGTTTTCTCTGCCCGTGAGTATGAACAGTGAGATCAATTTCTCCGGATTAGCAGCAGAATGATCTTTGTATTGGACTTGAGTCTCAGCGGCCCGTGACACAGGCCATCTCCCGTGGCAGGCACCTCGGGTCTCTGCTCATATCTGCACATCAGGCACGTACCTATATCGGCCTTGTGTCTCCTGAATGGCCCTCACATATCCTTCCATATACTCACTCATGCCTGTTAGAGACTTTGGCCCTTGAAGTAATAGCTCCTTTCAAAATGACTTTCGGATTTCTGAAAAAGTCTTCCATATTTTAAAAATTTCTTGTAGATGTGGATCTGAGCGTTTTCATTGTTGTGTTGGCATTGGTCTGGTATAGCTTCCTTCCTGTAAATACACAGAGGAATGAAAAGAAATTGGAGAATGGTCTCTTTTAAGAATGAATAGATATGGTGGTCATGCAACACTGTGAACAGACTTAAGTGCCCACAGAACCACACACTTAAAGATGGTTCGCATGGTAAATCTCATGGCACACTCATGTGGCCACAATAAAAATGTTTTTTATTTAAAAAACAAGGTAAATTTCATTTCATGAAATTATGGCAAAGTTATATAATTTCTAAGATTCCTTGGCGTCATTTAAAAATAATGTACAATACTGTTCCGTACAACCGTTTTTTTACATGATGTGATAACAGAATCTTAATTATATCGAAACAGATTTGCCTAAGCAAAATAAAAAAAGTAACAAAAACACCCTCAAAAACTAGAGGACATCTCACAAATAACGGTAGGAGAATTAAGCATTATTGTTGCCATATCTTATTTTTGTCATTCTTATTAGCATTAGTAAAACACAGTTAACTGATCACTGAAATATTCCTAGATCCAAAATATTGGCAATTTATTTCTGAAACCTGAAAGGAAAGTTTTGTGCCTGGAATGTTTGATTTACAGAGACTTCCTTCTTCCTGTCATCAGCCCTTGGCTTTATACTTTTCATATCATTTCAGTAACATGACTCTTGAGCATATTTATCCTTGATAAATGAGGGATGCCATTTGTCTCACCTTGCTCCTCTCACTTCCATTTTGTTAACAGGTAATGAAGCCTCTAAGGGTATGGGGACGTGCTTTTTCACTTTGCTCAGGCAGCAGGCACTAACTGTGACATCAGGGATCTGTTTTATGCTTACCATGCCTTAGCAAAGTGAAACTTCCAGTCCTTCCAAGCAATGGTCATCCTCTCCCTGATGCAGATTTACATCTCTTCTGCCTGTCTTTTCAACTCAGCTTCTCTTTCTTTCTTCCTGTTTTGTTTTGTTTAAGATTTAATTTATTCATGAGAGACACACACAGAGAGGCAGAGACACAGGCAGAGGGAGAAGCAGGCTCCCTGCAGGGAGCCCGATGTGGGACTCGATCCCAGGACCCCGGGATCACGCCCTGAGCTGAAGGCAGGTGCTCAACCACTGAGCCACCCAGGTGTCCCATTTCTTCCTGTTTTTTAATGTGATCTAGAAGGGCTTCTGTGGTTTTCCTTCTTCCGTATGTATTTCTTAACTGCGTCTTATATTTTTGTGCTGGCTCCAATCAATTTAATAGCTAGATGTGCTGGACTTTAAATATTCTCCCCTCACCGCCCCCACTTCCACCCCCTATCCCCAGAAAGCACCTTTATTGCCAGGTGGTGAAAATTCTAGACCCTAGGCAAATTTCTCAGAACAAGAGCCCTTTTAGCCTATCAGTACTAAATAAATATTTCTAAGCACTTTGCAAAGTGGAGACTATAATCGTGATACAATTTTATGTGTGACAGGCGGGAAATGGAGAGCCATCTGGAAGGAGCTTCTCTTTGTCC